TCGAGGCCTGCTGGGGGGCCAGCACAGTGAGGGCCACGCGCGGATTCAAATTAGACCTCGCCATCCCTGGGGGGCTGCGATCTGCGAAACTGCCGCCATTTTCGAGGCCTGCTGGGGGGCCCAGCACAGTGAGGGCCACGGGCAGATTCAAATGAGACCTCGCCGTCCCTGCGGGGCTGCGATCTGTGAACCTGTCGCCACTTTCGAGGCCTGCTGTGATCCCCGTTTTCGAAGTGGCTAGGAGTGCTCAGGAATTGTACATCATCAGCTTTATCAAGCCCTTTTCCTGTAGCCAGTGTCCTGCGAGTCTCCCGAATTCCGTCTGCAGACATATGTAACCCTCGCTCCGTCATCGCCCCCTTATAAAGTATCCTAAACTATTTGCGCCCCGCTTTTGCGCAGGGCTTGGGTACGTCGCCAGGGTAATTTTTGGTGTGTTTTTCCCATATGTATACATATATATATGTATGTAGGTCTGCATATATATATATATGATAGATATGTGCATCTATCAAGCCCAAGCAATATCAGTCATACTCGTATTGTTAAACTAGCAAGTTCGCTTGGCAGCGTCGCTACGCTTTCAGAAGAGGAAGTCTCCGATTTCCTCCTCCTCTTCCTTGTGCTCCAGTTCCTCCTCTGCGTTCTCTTCCACCCTCTCCAATGCCCTCTCATCCTCCTTCTCTTTCTCCCCCAGGGAACCCCTTTACCTCCCCTTCTCCTCCCTTTTCTTCCGGCTACGTCCAGCCGCGGCGAATAGAAGGGCCCCTGAAGTGCGTTTTGGGCCTGTCTAAAGCCGTCGTGGGTGGACCATGGGAAGTCTTGGAAGCCACTTGGGCCGTCTTCGTGTTTCTTGAAAGCCCCAGAAAAGAAGTGCCATGGAATAGAGACCCCCAAGAGTTCGACAATCTAGCCTGGCTAGACCTTGAGCGCGCGCGAAACGCGCGCAATGGTTCTAGGAATAATATTAATTGTAAATATGATATCCTACGTCGTAGTAATCGTAATCATGCTATTAGTAGTAGTCACAGTACTACGAGTCACAATGCTACTAGCCAGTAGTAGTCACACACAATACTAACACCATTTCTTATAGTCATGATAACAGCACCAATACTAATGTTAGTCGTCGTCGTCGTCGTCGTCGTAGTAGTAGTAGTAGTAGTAGTAGTAGTATTAGTGATAATAGTATGGTAGTAGTAGTAGTAGTAGTAGTAGTAGTAGTAGTAGTAGTAGTAGTCGTAGTAGTCGTAGTAGTCGTAGTAGTAGTAGTAGTAGTAGTAGTAGTAGTAGTAGTAGTAGTAGTAGTAGTAGTAGTAGTAGTAGTAGTAGTAGTAGTAGTAGTAGTAGTAGTAGTAGTAGTAGTAGTAGTAGTAGTAGTAGAAGTAGTAGTAGTAGTAGTAGTAGTAGTAGTAGTAGTAGTAGTAGTAGTAGTAGTCGGTAGTAGTAGTAGTAGTAGTAGTAGTAGTCGTAGTATAGTAGTAGTAGTAGTAGTAGTAGTAGTAGTAGTAGTAGTAGTAGTAGTAGTAGTAGTAGTAGTAATAGTAGTAGTAGTAGTAGTAGTAGTAGCAGTAGCAGTAGTAGTAGTAGTAGTAGTAGTAGTAGTAGTAGTAGTAGTAGTAGTAGTGCACAGAGCTGGACGACTGGAAGATCATGATGGTGGAGTACGTGGACGAGCTCAGTTGTGGGGAGATGCGCCGCTACGCTGAGGCTTCAGAGCGCAACCAGAAATACCCCGCGTACACGTGCTCGCGCTGCGTGGCGACGACGCAGAACATCACCGAGCAGGAGGGCGTGACGCGCGCAGCGCGCCTGAGCAGGGGCGCAGGCTCCATCGACCACGCCGCCAAGCGAGTGGCGAAGTTCCGTGCGAGCTTCGACTACATCAAGGAGGGCATGGACGTGCTGGTGGCATTCGCGCCTTCCGAGGAAGGCTTGCTTGCCCTGCGGAGGTCAACGGAGGGCGTAGGGGTGGGCATCGATCCCGAGAGCACGGGTGCCCCCCCAGCCGCGGAAACGGTGGCGGAGGAGGTCGGTCGCCCGATGGCGATGGAGGTGGGGGTGGTGCCGGGGCCGCCCCGTGCGCCACCCCCACCCCTCGAGGATGGACCTTCCCGTGACGAGGAGAACGACCCCCGGCCCGACATCGATGCTGAGAACCAGGAGCGCCGGCTGACCGACGTCAAGACCATGGAGGAGGTCGCGGACGTCGAGCCCCTGCTGCGGCTCGGCCTCTCCAAGAAATCGCTGAAGCGTATGGCGCGGGCCTATGGCGTCCTCAAATTCGAGACCGTGCGCGCCCACATGCTGGGAGGCCTGGGGCCCATCCCGGAGAAGAAGGAGGACGTGGTGAGGGGCGCAGAGGCGCAGGACGGAGTCCAGAAGTGGCTCGACGTGCTGAATGAGGAGGCAGAGGATGATGTGGGAAAACTGAAGAAGGGTGTCCTGGAAGCCTCGGGGATCGCGGATGCACACCCGGGACGCAAACGTGCCTGGAAGGAGGAGTGCCAGGGCGACGCCGCGGCGCAGGAGGCCTACCGCCGCATGGGCGACTACGCGGACCAGTTCTACCGTGGCAAGGGCTTCACGTTCAACATGTACTACAAGTGCTCGGCCAACAAGACCTGGGACAACCCCAGGGGATGCTGCTCGGTGATCCGATCGGATCGCTGGGCGCAGCTGCTCACCTGCGCGCAGGAGGCGGCGGGGGAGACGGGCCAGCGCCGGTGCTGCCACTGTGGTGCGCGCTACTCGACCTCCTACGGCGTCTGCATCGAGTTGATAGAGGAGGAGCTGAACCCGGCACGTGCGTACTACATGCACGCGGAACACCCCGAGGAGGACATCCGCGACCTGAAGGCCCTGCTGCGCTACGACAAGCTCAAGAAGGAGGAGATACTTGTGTTCAGCGCTGCGGACCTCCTGCAGTACTTGCCGAAGGTCGAGCCGCTGGCAGTGGGCGCCGTCTTCAAGCGCTACGCACCACGCCAGCCGCAGTGGGGGGTCCACTATGTGCTCATGGAGGGGCTCTCCTGGTAGAGCCTGACCGAGTTCAAGTGGGCCGACCTGTGCGCGCAGGTCGCCTGGGGACTGAACGACCCAGAGCGGGCGGGCTACAGCAAGAAGACGCGGAATAAGGCCAAGAGGGAGCGTCTGGAGATGGCGTACAGGGAGCTGGCGCTCTACGAGCGCCGCCACAACCTGCGGGAGGGCAGCCTCGCGGGCGGCGGGGGTGGTACAGGGGTCGCCCCGCGCGCCGCCCCCGTCCGCACCTCCGCCGCCGCCGCTGACGGCGCCCCCCGTGGTGCCGCCGCCGCCGACGGACCCGCCGCCGCCGACGGACCCGCTCCCGCAGCAGATCCCAAATGTTGCAGCCCTGAATGTGGCCCTCGGCGAAGATCTCGAGCGCCAGATCTTTGGGCCCTCAGGGCAGGCGGGCGGCAGTGGCGACCTCGGGGGAGAAGTGCAGGCGCTGCCGTCGCAGGTCTTTGCAGCCATTTCGCAGGGAGCAGGCCAGCCCGCTTGAATGATGAAGCCCAGCAGGTTCCATGCCCTCGGGGAGGCTACCTGAGTCCATGCCAAGATTTCGTGCCTGCCGCTCTTAGAGGTGCTGAACCAGTTGGTGTGCTTGCGCCCCAGCTGCAGCAACGCCGCTTTACCCGCGAGCGCGGCGTGCCCACAGTGGTACCCCCGTCGCGTCGCAGCACCTGTTGCTTTAGCCTCCGCTCTGCGTGCGGTCATCTGTGCGCCTAGCCACTCTGGCCTGCCAATTGGCTGGCCATCTGGGCTGGCCCTCTTGGCCTCCTCTCACGCCCACTTGCGCTCGTGGGCCTCGCTGGCGGTGCTGGGGTCGCCCCGTGTGCTGCCGCGACGCCGCTGGGCGCCTAGCCATTTTGGCTTGCCATTCTGGCCTCCTCTCGCGCCTCCCCGCGCTAGTTGGCCTCGATGGCGGTGCTGGGGTCGCCCCGTGTGCTGCTGTGCCGCCGCTGACGCTTCACTTTGGGCCGTAGGGACCAGCTGCCCTCGGATAAGCGCCCGCCGCTGCGTGCGCGTCAGACCCGCCCTTTCACCCAGAAGAGGTGCCCGCTACATGCTGGCGATGAGGCAGCCACAAGGACGCTCTTCCCATGGTGGTTGAGCCGTGGTGATGTGGTGCACGAGACCGCCAGTAGTAGTAGTAGTAGTAGTAGTAGTAGTAGTAGTGGTAGTAGTAGTAGTAGTAGTAGTAGTAGTAGTAGTAGTAGTAGTAGTAGTAGTAGTGGTAGTGGTGGTGGTGGTGGTGGTGGTGGTGGTGGTGGTGGTGGTAGTAGTAGTAGTAATACGAGTACGAGTAATTCGCCGGCCCAACGGGCCAAAGGCGTGCTAAGATCTCCGGTAACTTGTTAACAATATTTCTAGTTCGCGCGCGCGGAGCGGCCCCTGGGGGCCCCCGGACGAAAAGTACCCCGGCAAGGTCCCGAGAGAAGCCCGGGAGAAGCCACCAGACCACTCCAGGGGAGGGTATTTTTCGACACCCCTCACGAGGATCGTGGCCTCCGAGGGGGGAGCCGCAATCGACTGCCCCCAAGAGCCCCCCAAGAGGCCCTGGGGGCCTCCAAAACGCCGCCAAGGAGCCCCAAGAGACTCCCAAGAGGTCCCCAAGAGGCCCCCAAGAGGCCCTAAAGAGGGCTCCAGGGCCGGCGGCATGAGCGAAGCGATTAAATAATTATATGATTAAACATCGTACCAATCATCAGTAAGAGAAGAGGAGGGGGAAGAGGAACCGAGAAGGATCCGATGTTGAGGAGGACGAAGGGCAGGAATATGAGTATGAGAAGTTGGGGAGAGGAGGGGCAGGGTGAGGAGGAGGGCTGGGGGGAGGGGCGCGGGCGGCGGAGGGAGGGCGGGGTCGGTGAAGGGGGGTGGTGGGGGAGGCGGAGGAGCAGGAGGAGGAGGAACACCCGCAGCAGCACGCACGCAGCATCAGCATCAGCATCGGCAGGACAGCAAGGCGGCCCGCGAGGCGGGCCCTGGTCCCCGCTGCGGCGCGGAGCGTCCGCGCTGGCGCCGCGGTGTGGCGGTGGCCGCGCTCGCACTCGGGCTGGCCCGGCATGCGCAGCGCGGCAGGGGCAGGCGCAGGCGCGCCGCGGCCGGTCCCGGCGCGCGTCGGCGTTTCGCCTCCCTCCCGGGCGGGTGGCCTGCTGGCTAGCGACGCGCCCCCCCTCTCGCCGAGGAGCAGGGATACGGGGGGGCTGGCACAGGGACGGCAACATCGACGGCGCCGCCATGTAGGTCACACCCCATTACCACCCGCCCGACTCTCCCCGCCCCCGTTGTCCCTCCCTCTCTGCCCCACCCGTCGTCCCCGATCCTCTCTCCTATCCGCCGCTTTGGTCGGCATCAGCGGCGACCTGGGAGTGGCGCCCCACATCAGACGCGCCCCGCCTCTCTCTGCTTAGCCTGCTGTCGTTAGTCTTGGCGGACGGCACCCGCAGTCGGTGCCGTCATCTTCCCTTCTGCCCTTTCTGGGCCGGGGTGGCCGGGGGCGGAGGTTGCATTCGCGCCACCCGGCCCACCCTTCTGCGTGCGAGAACAGCGAGGCGTTTCATGCAACCTTTGACGACGACGATCCTCTTTCCGTTAGCTTGCCCAGCTGCGTCAGGCAAGAATGGGCCGCAGTATTCAGCCAATCCCAGTGGTGCTGTTGATAGCGAGGTGGCAGTCGTTGGCTTGGGGTCTCTGGGTGGCCATGTTGGCCGCGAAGGCTTCGCGCAACCGAATTTTCCCTGCACAGTTGAGTATTAACAGATTCGCCGCGTTTGTGCCGCCGTTTGAGCTCTGGAGTGCAAGTTTTTACCACCAGAGGTTGCATTCATCTTGTTGCGTGCCATCTGCAGGCGGTCACTTTTGGAGAGGGAACACTTGGACCAGCAGAAGTTCGCGAAGTGCGCATCTTTCTGAGTAGGCGCCCGACGCGCGCAATTTCTCATGCGAGGCCATGGCCTCACCCGCCTCGCCCTTACGGGGCCCAGGCGCACGCCCGCATAGGCGCTCTATTCTATTCAATTATATTCTGCAGGCGGTCACCTTCGGAGAGTCAGGGGGCAAATGCCCTCAGCTGTCAGATGTTGGCGAGTTCCGTCTTGCATTGGCCGGATGGAAATGCCAGATGCCGCCAGCCTGCGCGCGTACTGGCGCGCCCTGTGTGGCAAGACTTCCACCGTGGACGACAGCACGCCATCGCTTGCTCTTCTGTTCGTTGCTACCGCGACGCCACTTGGCACATCACTCTGGCTAATCTCATTTGTTGACCAGTGATTCAGTATCGTTGATCCGATCCACATCCCCATCCCCATCCCCATCCCCTTCGAGACCCCCACCAACTTACACCCCCATTTGGGGACACACCCCTCGAAACCCCATAGCCCCATCTAGGGGGGTAAATCGGCCAGTGGGGCCCAGCCCACGCTGGTGGGGATGGGGATCGGTTAAACGATACTCAATCACTCTGGCTAATCTCATTTGTTGACCCGTGATGGTTTCCAACGCGTGCGGCGAACGACGATCCGAACGACGATCCTTTCCGGTTGCGTCGCGCCACAACGGCGTTGACCCGCCCACTGGCAACCAACACCAGGGGTTCCACGGACTATTTCAAGTGTGAAAGGAGCAGCGGCCCCCTCACTGGGGGTACTGGAGGTTACAAGCCGTTACCAGAACGTTATTTCTTGGATGCTTCGGGTTGAGGCAGCTTCTAATTCCTGCCACTGGTCGCAAACAATTTCGCGTTGCGTACCCGCTGCTTTTATGGCAGGCGAAATGCGAAAGTGATCTCATGTAGAATTTCGCGCGCGGTAGATTCTCCTGCGGCTGAGCTTGCGAGGTGCCAGATAATCTAATGGCCTTCTGTCCATCCCGGCACCGTGCATGGGTTGTGGGATGAAGCCTACTGGATGTTCGTTGGCGTCTCGTGGGAGGCTTCTCGGAGGCCTCTTGGAGGCAGTTTGGTCGCCCCTTGGGGGCCGTTTGGGGGCCTCTTGAGGCCCCTGGGCCTCTTGGGGGCCTCTTGGGGCCTCTTGGGGGCTCTTGGGGCCTCCTGGGCGTCTCTTGGGGCCTCCTGGGGGCCTCTTGGGGCGGAAGGCTCGGATCTTCGGTTCATGTTCCCTCTTTTCGGTTCTTGTTGGGGCCGTCTTGGGGCCTCTTGAGCCGTTTTGGGCGCCTCTTGGGCTCCCTGTTTGGGTCGTTTTTGGGCCGTCTTGGAAGCCTCTTGGGCCGTCTTGGGGCCGTCTTGGGGCGGTCTTGGGGCGTTCTGGCAGCGTCGGCCAGCCGCCAAGGCGAGAACGCCCAGATCCTGCAAAACAATTAGGACAATCAATGATTATGGCCTCTTGGGAAGCTTCTTGGAGGCTTCTTTGGGGCGTCCTGGAGGCCTCTAGGGCTCTCTGGGGGCCATCCTCTGGGCCTCCTGGGGCGGCGGTTCGGCGACTCGGGACCCCTTTGGCCCGTCTTGGGGGCCTCTTGGGACCCTCGGGGCTCGTCTTGGGGCCCTCGTGGGCCCGAAGAGTCATGCGAGATGACGCGGGAAGCCCCAGGGGGCACGCGCCAAACCCAAAAAGATATGAGAATTTTGGGGGTCCTGGTCCCTAGGAGACTCCTCAGGACTGAGGACGGAAGCTCAGGTGATTGGGCAAAGGGCCTGGGGACACGCCCACTCCGTGCCCAGAGGCACGGTGGCGGATGTTGAAACCAATGGCGCCATCCACGGCATGAGCAAGGGGGAAAGGATCGCGGGAGTTTCCTGGTACCGCTGTCATCCTGAACTTTTTCAACAAAGTTTCTTGGTTCTCGCCGCGGAGCAGGGCATTACAGTCCTTGCTGATCGATATGGTTTCTCCGTCTGACGGGCGAGAAGGTGAGCCGCTTCCGACTAATTTGGGGTATCTCGGGCCAGTGGGCTTGGAACTGAAGTGGACGTCCACTAGTGGCCTGTCCAGCTTAGGCGCTCTGGCTAATTCCCCGCACCCTGGCGAAGCATTGTTCTCAGTGCCTGAAGTCCTCCATGCGGCCTAGCAAACAGACAAGCAGCATCACCAGGCTTTCCGCTCGCTGATCGCTGTGGTCGCGTAGTGGACGCATCGTCCACACTTGCTGCGTAGGGTGCGCTGCTCAATGCAGGGATGCGCGGCTGTTACCGACGGTAGGCACAGCCCCCGTGGTGCGGGGGCCCTCGGTCATACCACTGCTGCCGAACACTAGTTCCTGGGTCAATCAAGCTCTCGAGTCTCGCACACCACTGCTAATTTTCCTCCTGTGACCATCGATGTCGTCCACTTCATGGACGTCAAACCAGATACAGCGCCAACGCTGCCGATACCATCGATTAGCCCTTGAGACGATTCGGACTGTATTGGCGACGGTGACGATGGTGGTCACGTTCAAGGTCCCGATGACGATCTCCCGAGCGCCGACCATTCCTTATGATGCTGCAGCTGTAGGGGGCATTCAAACAGCGGCGTCGTCACATAGACCGTTCGACATGATTGGCTTGGCAATCATTTCGCTGTGGATGCTACGTCGGAGGGGAACGTAGGAACTGGCGGATTTGTGGACCCACGTCTTGGGGATCCCATCGCAATTGTTGAAGTACCCGGCATGCGCATCCGACACGCACGCACTTAAGTTTGATTCAAGAGGTATATTCCCAGTCTTTTTTTCCTGTCTCTCTCTCTCTCTCTTTCTCCCTCTCTCGTTGGGGGTCGCCACTGTGATGATCACAATCGAACATGTGGGTCGAATTGGTGCCGTCACGATGACCGACAACGTACTCAGGCAAAGCCGGCCACGTTGCTACGCTGACACATTGCCAACATATGAAGGCGACGATGTTGTGGAAGGCAGAAGTTCACCCTCCCCCCCCTCCCCTTTTTCTGTCTCCCTTTCCCGCTCCTTCCCCTCCCCTTCCCCCTTCCTCTCCCCCAGAAGACAAGGGTGATGACCACAAGAATAAAGGGGGAGCGCCGCGCGATGCACGGCACAGTGATTGTAGCACGGGTTTCACAACAGTGCGGCGCTCCCGGCCTGGCCCAAGACGCAGCCAGGAGTCGGCGTTACCCCAACATACTAATGCCATATGTGCACCGAGAAATCTTCTCGTGTAAGCTCCGTGGCGGGAGCTTCTTGGCCATACCGCTCGGGAAACGAGACTGTACAAGATCTTTACGCTATAAGTTCGGCTCGGACGCACGCCTCCAAGGAGAACATGTAGCACTGGTATGTCCTTGTGCGTCGCAGGGAGACCGTCTCTCACCGTCAGTGTGGCTCCAGCTGTTCTAGCTGGGAGGGCGGAGCCTATGGTAGGTAGTACGTGTGGTGCGCAGCTCGCGGAGCGCGTGCTCGCCGTGGTGTGTACGCTGTGTGACAGGCGGCGTGTGGTGCACGGTCCTCGTCCTCATACTTCTTCTCCGTCGTCCTCCTCCTCCTCCTCTTCTTCTTCTTCCTCCTCCTCCTTCTTCCTCCTCCTCCTCCGCCCTTCTCCTCCTCCCGCTCCTCCTCCTCCTTCTCCGTCCTCCTCCTCCTCCTCCTCCTCCTCCTCCTCCGCCTTGTCCTCCTCCTCCTCCTCCTCCTCCTCCTCCTCCTCCTCCCCTCCTCCTCCTCCTCCTCCTCCTCCTCTCCTCCTCCTCCTCCTCCTCCTCCTCCTCTCCTCCTCCTCCTCCTCCTCCTCCTCCTCCTCCTCCTCCTCCTCCTCCTCCTCCTCCTCCTCCTCCTCCTCCTCCCCCCCCTCCTGCTCCTCCTCCTCCTCCCCCCCCTCCTCCTCCTCCCCCTCCTCCTCCTCTTCCTCCTCCTCCTCCTCCTCCTCCGCCTCCTCGTCCTCCTCCTCCCCCTCCTCCTCCTCCTCCTCCCCCTCCTCCTCCTCCTCCTCCGCCTCCTCCTCCTCCTCCTCCTCCTCCTCCTCCTCCTCCTCCTCCTCCTCCTCCTCCTCCTCCTCCTCCTCCCCCTTTTCTCCCTCCTTCCCCATCTTCCGCTTCTGAGGGGAAGCCTGACTGGGGGTGGGCGAATGACAGCCGCGGCGGCCCCCAGGCGCTGCAGAGGTGCCCCGACGCGCATGTGGGCCGCCAAATACCAGTCGCCCAACGACATAGCCGAGGAGAAGGTGAGGAAGAAATCGCTGGACGACGAGGCCAGCCTCTCCATGGCCTCGTACCAGCACCGCTGCGCTTCCTGGAGTGTCCTCGTGGCCACGGTTGGATTCTCTTGGAAATTGTTGACGCTTTGAGTATCCCCACCACTTCTTACCGCCCTCTGGACTTTTCCTTGCGGGCCGCGAATCAAAAAAGTATCCCCACCAGTTACCCTGGCAGTCAGCCCCCCCTTTGCAGCTCGTTGCATGCGTGCAACCCCTGGCAGTGCGGCTACCCTGGCAGCCGCAACCAACACCCCTCCACTCGCCGGCCTGCTCGCGAGGTGCCGCGTGAGGCTCCGGCCCACGGGCTTTAGGTCAATTCGTCTTTGCGCGGCCCGCTCTGACTCGACTCGCCGCTGGCGCGCTCCCCTGCGGCTGCTGACTAAAAAGTATCCCCACCAGTCCGTAGCCATTTGGCTCAAGCCACTGGCTCAAGGCGTCAGGGCTCAAGCCAGCCCCTGTCTCAGGTGCGCGCCCCGGCCCGTGGGATGGAGGCCCGTGTCGCGGCGGCGGTTGCGGCGTGAGCGGCCGCCTCCGCCGCCGGCGCCGCAAGTGCTGCTGGCGCCACGGGCGCCGAGGGCGCCGCGGGCGCCGCCAGCGCCGTGGGCGCCACGCGCGCCGCGGGCACCGCCGGCGCCGCGGGTGCGGCGGGCGCTGCCGGCGCCGCGGGCGCTGCGGGCGCCGCCTGCGCCGTGGGCATCGCGGGTGCCTCGGGCGCCGCGCGCGTCGCGCGCGCCACGGGCGCCGCAGGCGCCGGGGGCGCCGCGGGCGCTGCGGGTGCCGCGGGCGTCGCGGGCGCCGCGGCGCCGCGGGCGCAGCGTGCGCTGCTGGCGCCGCCAGCGCCGCGGGCGCCGCGGGCGCCGCGGCGCGGGCCCGTGGGATGGAGGCCCGTGTCGCGGCGGCGGTTGCGGCGTGAGCGGCCGCTTCCGCCGCCGGCGCCGCAAGTGCTGCTGGCGCCACGGGCGCCGAGGGCGCCGCGGGCGCCGCCAGCGCCGCCTGCGCTGCCAGCGCCGCGGGCGCCGCGGGCGCCGCAGGCGCCGCGGGCGCCGCGGGCGCGCGGGCGCCGAGTGCGCCGCGGGCGCCACCGGTGCCGCCGGCGCCACGGTCGCTGTTGGCGCCGCCTGCGCTGCGGGCGCCGCAGGCGCCGTGGGCGCCGCGGGCGCTGCGGGTGCCGCGGGCGCCGCCGGCGCCGCCCGCGCCGTGGGCGCCGCGGGCGCCGTGGGCGCCGCGGGCGCTGCGGGCGCAGCGTGCGTCGCGGGCGCCGCGGGCGCCGCCTGCGCTGGCAGCGCCGTGGGCGCCGCGGGCGCCGTGGGCGCCGCGGGCGCCGACTGGGTGCAACTGCGTGGACAACACCTGGGACACCACGTCGGCGCGAACAGGGGACGCCTGGCCCCCCTTGCGAGATGGTCGGGATCTCGTGGTCGCCGACACTGGCCGTTCGCTGCAGGGTGGGAGTGTTCTCGTGCGAGGTCGGGCCCTTGACGTCGGAGGCGGGGCCGTCTGCCTCCACCCCCGTGTCGACGGCGTCTGCGTGCTGTCAGCACCCTATCAGAATCAGAGTGCCTGGCGTGCGCGTCAGTGTACACAGGGTTAAGCTCTTTCCCCTCCTCTCACACCGTGTGCCTGGCGTGCACTTTCTCCTCCTCGCACCGGGTAAATGATCCACAACCTGGCGTGCTGCCCTCCCATCGCCGGGTAAATCCAGGCTGCGACGGTTAGTCGCTCTTCTCCTCCTGCGGCCCTTGCATCCGCTGTCCATGTGCCCTCATATCCCCAAGCTGCAGCGGTTGGCTGCGTTCCATGTCTGTCCATGCGCCTTCATCTCCCATTGCTGCAGCGGTTAGCTGCGTTCCGCCTCTGCCATGTTCGCCTGTTTCTCCTGCCGCACTCCTCGTCCGCCCTGCCCAGATGGCCGAAAGGGTTCAGTGGGCTCCGATGCTCGTGTCTCCTGCTTCCTATTGCCGCAGCGGTCAGCTGCCACAACGGGTTGCCTACCGTGCCTGGCGTGCACTTCCCCTCCTCTTCCTCGTTTCACCGGGTTTATCCCACGCGGCTGGGGTGCCGCCAATACCGCTGTCCGATGGTGCTCTGACAGCCTGAAGTCCATGGCAAGGTTCACATTGGGATCGGGCGGTCAGGTGGCCCCTGACCTGCTCCTGGCTGGTGTCGGCCTCCACTGGTGACTGGGAGGGTTCCGTGAGGTCTCGCTTCGAATTCCATGCAAGGACCACACTGGGGATGGGCGGTCAGGTGGCCCCTGGCCTGCTCCTGCTTGGTGTCAGCCTTCACTGGTGACCGTTTGGGTTCCGTGGGGTCTCGCTACGCTGCCGTCCTCTTCGGTGCAAGGACTTCGGCATGTGTGGCTCTGGGCGCCCGTCGGCTGCTTTCTCCTACATAGACTTCGCTTTCGACCTGTGCCGCCGGGTGTACAAACAAGAGGATCTGCCGTTTGCAGTCCTGTCTGTGACGAGGCTGCCCCCTCTTCATGCCGGCGCTGACACCATTCTGTTGTGTCCATTACGGCAGGGATGTCGTCTTGGAGTGCCTGTCGGACCTGCTCGTTTTTGTCGGGCCTTACGCCGATTCACATCAGGTGATCGACCTCTGTGTGTTCATGGTCGCGCCGCCGCGCCATTTTGGCTGCGCCTACTTGATGGTCGCCACTGGGATTTCCACGCCACCGGGTTGGGATTGCCGTTCCTGGTCCTCCTTCTGAGTGGCTGCCCGCGCGCTCGCTTCGCTTGCCCCTTTTTTTTCTTGCTGCCTAGTCGCGGCCTTGCTAGTGTTCGGACGACTTCCGAGTTGCTTCGCGAGCCCGCATACCAAAAATATCCCCACCAGTCTCGCTCGTTTTGCTTGCCTTTCTTTCTCTGCTGCCTAGTCGCGGCCCGACGAGTCTTCGGACGGCTTTCGACCCGCCTCGCGAGCCTGTTGACCAAAAGGGTACCCCCACCAGCTTCAGCCCGTAATTTAGAGCTTGGCGCGGCTGCCTCTTCTCTTGACGGCGCGCGGTTGGACCGCGACGCTCGCGAACGAAAAAGTATCCCCACCAGCCCCCTGGCTCGCCCGGCGTTCGACCCGTTTCGCGTGTCCGCGTACCAAAGCGTATCCCCACCAGCCCATTCAGAAACGACGCCCAGGGGAGCTGAGGTGATCAAGGAAGTGGGGTGGCATGCAGAAAAACAGAGGGCGGGGGGAAGCGGTCATATACCCCAGGAGGGGGAGGGTAGAGTCGTCGTCGTCGTCGTCGTCGGAGGAGGAGGAGGCGGAGGAGGAGGAGGAGGAGGAGGAGGAGGAAGAGGAGGAGGAGGAGGAGGAGAATGGCAATGACGAGGAGGAGAAGGAGGAGAAACGGAGAGCGGAGTACCTCGTGGATCGTCTTGAGGCCTCGTATGGGGTCTCTTGGGAGCCTTTTGCAGGCCTCTTGGGGCCGCCTGGGCGCCTCTTGGGGCCCTCTTGGGGCGCTCTTGGGAGCTTCAGGAGAGCCCTTGGGGCCATCTTGGAGGACATCGATCAAACAGAAGGGAGCTCCAATTAGCTCCCCCCCCCCCGGGAGCACCGACAATCGCCTCCTGGACCCCTTTTGGGGCGCTCTTGGGACGCTCGTGGGCGCTCTGGGGGCCGTCTTGGGGCCCTCTTGGGCCTCTCCTGGGGCTCTCTTGGGCCATCTTGGAGCCATCTTGAGGCTTCGGATGGCCATCGGAAGCGAAAATGCGAGAAAGCAATCTTCATGGATTTTCCGTTGGTTTTTGAAGGATGTTGGCTTCTTCGGGCCCCCCCTGGAGGTGTCGGACGCCTCTCTGGGGCGTCTTGGAACGTTCTTGGGGCCTCTTGGAGCACCTTCGGGAGCCATCTTGAGACATCGTGCGCTATCTCGAGCTATCTTGGAGCTCATCTTGGACTCTCAGGCGCCCTCTTGGAGCCGTCTTGGGCCATCTTGGACGCTCCAACGCCTCGCCGCCCCCCCCGTCCAGGTCCAGTGGAAGGGGCAGGGGGAGGGGTCAAGACACCCCCTAGATAGCAAGTCGTCTAGCTCACTCTCACCCGCCCTCCCAACACATACGTAACACCTGGGCCTGAGTACGTTCAGCTGCCGTCTTTGGATGGGCAGCTATTGGGAACCAATTCCGACCCTATCAGCGCGACGCTGGGGCGATGTGCGCCACGCGTGCCAGGCGCGCCACGCGCGCCAGGCACCCCTGGGGCCCGAGCGTGCCAGGCACGCCCGGTGCGCAAGATGCGCCACGTGCTCCTCGTGCGCCAGGTGCGCCGCATATTCCAGCCGCGCCGGTAGCACCTCGTTCGGGGCACGTGCAAAGTGTGTCAGGTGCTCCTGCGCACGTGACAGCACACATCGGGAAACATGTCGGCCCGCACCATCCACGTCGAAAAGCAACGCCCATCATTGTGTCTGGTGGGCCTGCGCAGGTCATACGCCACCAGTTGACAGAGACCGCGGGGCGGCCGCGCATGATCCAGCTTTTGCCGCGAGGTGCATTTTGTATTGTTTTCGTCAAGGATCGCAGCCCTGCTCGCAGCAGGCAATATGCTGACATCCCCGCCGTCCCTGTCAAAAACAGTACAACGTGCTCGCGGGCTTCATTAACATGACTCCAGACTTTTTGACAGGGATGGTTGGGGGGGCCGCATCGAGTTGGTCGCGCATGCTCCAAATGTGGAGGCAGAGTGTGTGTTTGTCTGGGTTTCAAACAGGGATGGTGCGGGGTGCCCTCATGGTTCCTCATTGTTTCTGGTTGGCTGCCGGTCGCCTGGGGGAGAGTGTACACTAATAGGGAACAGTGATATAAACCCCTCCCCGACGGGGTAGAACGAGGTTGGAAGAGGAGCCTCCCTAGACCACCTACGCCCAGGGGGCTGGGATTCTGGTCATCACGCGCTCCAGGAGAAGTCCGTGGAGTAACGGTATCGGCGCCCATTCGTCCCCCCATGTGCCCTTGGTGTGGCCCCCGCGCTGGTCGTGGCGAAGTTCTGGACCGGATTGCGGGGTTGCTGGTCGGTCCGCACAGTTCTGAGGGTCGGTCCGGGCCTTGGTCCGGGCAGGGCTCGCCGGCGATTTGGAAGCCACTTGGGCGGGATGTCACAGAGGGAAACGGGAAGGGGATGAGGGAGGGGGTGGTTGAATGAGGGCGGGGTTGGGATGGGGGAGGTGGAAGGGGGAGGACAAATGAAGAAAGGAGAGGTAGGGGAAGAGTTCGGGTGGGCGATGCACGGGGAAGCCCTGGCCTCCAACGTCTGAAAGCAGCAAGACGTCTTTTTGACTTTTCTAACACAGTTCGGCATGCAGTGAGCGTTTTTGGACACCCGAGACATCCAACCATCGACTCAGGATCAAACGCCCGCCACCATGGAGGCGTCGAGAGTTCTGGGGCCCGCGTGTTGGAACACATGAAGACGGTCATCGGACGTTTGGGAGGGCAGGGTGGGTTGGAGTGGGCGGGTTTTTGGAGAGAAAGTTCTTGTAGAACTTCTGAGAAGGCCTCCCCTCGCATATTCTCTGACCATTGCCGCTCGTCGCTCCTCCCTGCTGCCTGTTCCCTCCTCCCTTCAACAGCCAGACGGCAGTTCACAGCAGACGTCATGGCGCATGGCTTCAAGGGTCGCAAATCACGAGCACGCAAGGTGGACGTGGAGAACACTACACGGGCATCCAGCAGAAAAGCCACGACAGCACGGACAGCGGCAAAAAGGAGGACAACGCAAGCGGTGGGAGGACGACGCAACCTCGTACCTCCAGCATCATAAACCCGGCTTGCACCCAACGCCCACACCAACCCTTGCAGAAAACAACCTAACGACCTTACGTGGGTTCAATCGGTTCAAGACGTGCTCACTTGGTCGACACTCGATCACAAAGGCACCAACGACGCATGACAGCGCACGGCTCTGGACAGCAAGCTGCCAGCGTCCACGACCAGTTTTTTTTTGCCTATTGTCCTGCTCCTTCAGTCTGGGACCTTGTCGGCGGGGCGGCGGGGGATGAGGAGAAGGCGGGACCGCGACCAGAGACGAGGAATGCGAGGAGGAAGCTGGGTCCCAGTCTCAAGGTGGTTCCAGACAGGACGCCCCCGAGGAGCCTGAGTCTCTCCGCCGATGTCCTGGGTTTGGGGCACAGCTCCAGTGGTTTTGGGGGCCCTTCGCGTGTCGAACACGCCACAGAGGCAACCGCGAACCGTCGGACGGTCGCGGACACGGATCCGTGCAGCATGTCGCACGACAGCGCCCAGCCCCCCGCCAGCCTGGGGCAGGCTGCGAGCGTCTGGTCTCGCCCCCGCCCCTGCCGAGACGACCCGTTCCTCCGGGGCGGTGCGAGGCGAGGGCCTCGAGGCCAGAGCCGCAGTGCTCACGACCCGTGTCTGCTGAGGAGGTCACGTGTCGCCGCCCCGCGGAGAGGGAGCCCCCCCCCCCCCTCCGACAGGGAGAGGTGCATGCCATCGCTGCCCTCCCCGGATCAGGAGCGAAAGACGGACGTACACGTGCATGGATCCACACTGTTTTCGAGATTTTCGCATTGCGCGAATGTTCGTATCACGCGGCCAGTCTCGCGGGTCAAGGGGCCGTGTTCATGTGCATAGCTGGGCGCGTGCGTCCTTTGTGGGCTCCGTACCAGAGGGACCCCCCTCGAAGAGGGACCGTTTGGGCCAGCGGGCGAAACAGAGGAGGGCGCTAAGTGGGGAGGTCCGCGCTGACTTCGTGGATGAGCGCGGAGCGCGCCAGGGGCGGCGCCGGAGGCGCCGCCCAGAGGGTGCCAGCGCAAATCCAGGATATCCACGCGGACCTCCGACAGTTGATATGCTTGTGCCTCTGAAAGTTGATATGCTTGGCGCGGCCCCACCATGTCGCGTTGGCAGGGGTGTGTGTGTGGGGGGGGTTGTCCCCACCCGGCGTCCAGACGACGTCGTTGGGCGTTCACTGCCTCCCTCCTGCCTCCCTCTCCTCCCTCTTCCCTCCCCCCTCTCCGCCCTCCCCTGCCCCCTACTCTTCCTCTCTTCGCTCTCCCCCCTCCTTGCCTCCCCCGCTCCGTCCTCCCTCCCTCCCTCCCTCGTTCTCCTCCCTCCCTCCCTCACTCCTCGTCCGCACTCCTCCCGCTGGGAAGGTGCAGTCGGCCGTGGAGGCCGCGTCGCCGGTGCCGCAGACGTTCGACCAGGCGTGCGCCTGGGCCTCCGCGGCGGCCCTGAACGCGGTGTCGAAGGGCAAGATGTTACAGGATGGCGCCTTTTGGACGGTGGTGGCCAGATCGAGACATGTCAGCCACGCGCAGGGGGGGTGGGGGGAGGGGGGAGGGCTTCTTAGAAGCACCCCTGCTTCTCAGAAGGCGCAGGCCTTATTATAGACGGAAGGCCCGCGCCTTCTAAGAAGCAGCCTGCTTCTAAGAAGCCCTCCCCCCTCCCCCCACCCCCTTGTGCGCGCCGCCAAACATGCACGGATACTGCTGAGGACGGGAAGGACGATGCAGCCGAGGAGGTAGCGAGAAAGACTCGAGGTTGGAGTCGGGGGTGGAGGGAAGGATGCGCAGGAGCACGGGGCGGAGCAGGCGTCGGCGCATGATGGGGAGGAGAAGGAGCAGATGGAGCAGAAGGAGCAGAGGGAGGAGGAGGAGGAGGAGGAGGAGGAGGAGGAGGAGGAGGAGGAGGAGGAGGAGGAGGAGGAGGAGAGGAGGAGGGGGAGGGGGAGGAGGATGGAGAGGAGGAGGAGGAAGAGCAGGAGGAGGAGGAGGACGACGAGGAGGAGCAGGAGGAGCAGGAGGGGCAGGAGGAACAGGACGACGAGGAGGAGGCAGGATCTCGGCCAACAGAAAGAGGGGGGTGGGACAACGGATTGTTGTATTCGCTGGGTTGTTGCAGCGTGGGAGCGCGGGCATCAACGACGGATCCAGCTCAGCCTCTGCGCCGAGAGGCGACGGGACGCGGCCCTGCACAGCCCCCGGATGCTGCCCTCCCCTGCCAGCCTCCCGAGAGGCGCGCGAGGGCAGCAGGGGCCATGGGGTGTGTCCCCTCCACGGGGCGGCCCTGGGGTCGACACCCGTCTGCCCGCTCCCCGGGCTTACGCTCAACCTGAAGTCCCGCGTTCTCTTGGGGTCTCTCCGTTGAGCTGTGGGGCCCTTGAGGCTTGAGCGTGCTTCGTGTGGTAGCTGCCGCAGCCGCGAAGAATCGAGAGAGAGGAGTGGGAGTCAGTAGAAGGCGCGGGAGCGAGATGCGGATGAGCTGTGGTTGCAGGTAGTTGTGATGGACATGGAGCAGTGGCATGAAGGATCATACGTAGGTGTTGATGGTCATGGTGATAGTGCGGGTGACGCTAGGAGTGATAACGAGGATCATCGTAATGAGAAGCAGGACAGCGAACATGCAGGGGCAGGTCACTTCAATGAGGGATATCTTAGGATAAGGAGTAGCTCGATGCTAATGACGGTAAGGTGAGATCAGTAGGGCTAGAACGAGGATGACAATTCTGACAGGTAGCTGGGCAATGATGAGATGGGGAAACAATTCTCCAGACAATGTATTTCAACGCCGGTGGAAGCGATGACGCTGACATTCAAGGTGACCTTGGGAATGTGCTTGATTTCGCTGAGACCTTCAGCAAGATGCTGTGCCAGGCTGGGCTTCGCTCGTTCCAGCAAGTTACGGCGGACGCACCAGAACTTAACATTTGGGGTCGGAGCATCTGAGTTTAGAAAGGGCCGCGCGATGACAGCACAGGCAACATCGGCGCGCAGGGGGGAGGACAGAGGAGGATGGTGCGGAGGAGGCGAGTAGTAGTAGTAGTAGTAGTAGTAGTAGTAGTAGTAGTAGTAGTAGTAGTAGTAGTAGTAGTAGTAGTAGTAGTAGTAGTAGTAGTAGTAGTAGTAGTAGTAGTAGTAGTAGTAGTAGTAGTAGTAGTAGTAGTAGTAGTAGTAGTAGTAGTAGTAGTAGTAGTAGTAGTAGTATGGTGGTGGTGGTGGTGGTGGTGGTGGTGGTGAGGAGCCTCGAGTTGAGGAGGGGGAGGTGCACACCACTGGTGTGTCCACCACATGCACGAGTTGCTCGTCTGCCACCGTGACTTGGCGGCACTGTGCAGTTCTCTTCGGCCACGGCCGCCCTGTCAGAGGTGTGTTCTCAAAGCTTCCGATGGTTCATTTCCTCGCCCTTTCGCGCCTGGCACCCTGGTGACCTTAAGTGCTGACACGCTCTATTGCTCGGCTCCTCAGGTCCTCGCAGAGAAAGGTCCGACCAGTCATGCGACGTGTGGAGCGCTGGCGTCCTGGTGCGCACTTCGGCAGCGGATCCGGTGGGTTGGCGCGAGGGGGGCGGCCTTCTCGGGAGGCGGCGGGGCCTCAGAAGCTCTCCCGCCCTTGGGCAAGCGCCTTCGAGAAGCTCTCTAAGATTCCAAGCGTTCTCCGAAGCCAGACTGGGAGTTTTTGAGGGCGGGAGTTTTTTTTCCGAGAGGCCCAAGATTCACCGCAGCTTCTTGTCGTGGCCTTTTCGTGGCCGCGTGTGAGATAGTTTTTTTTTTTTATCCTCGCCAGCATCGTTCAAGACAACTTGCACGTGGAGCTTGAAGAGGGAAGGAGGAGTTTGCACTGCAGGGTCCGCCATTCTTGCCGTGGACGTGGCTGATGATAAGAATTGTGCGGCGGGCGCGGCAGACGCGAGGATGACAACGTTTCTCGTAAGTCCGGCATATCCCTCTGCAGGAGGAAGCTTTAGAACCAGTCAGAAAAATAGTAAGGGGACGATTTTTTGACTATTATCGAGTTTTTTCGTCAATTTTTCATTTCGTCCAAAATCCGCCTGTAGGAGGACATGCCCGACCTAACGATCCTCCCCCCAGGCCGCACCCCTGGAGGAGGGCATCGTCCGGGTGGTGCTTCCCGATCTCGGCGCAGCGGCGATGGTGAAGCAGAAGTGGGAGGCTCGCCTGCCCTGCCCTGCTTCTCTCCTACCGTCAGCTTCCTCGATTCGCCAGACGCGCCGTTCGTTCAGGCTGGTCTACCCACGCGCGAGTGTCTGTGGATGTGTGTGTGTGTGTGTGTGTTGACGTGTGTATGTGTGTGTGTGTTTTCTTGTCTTCCCTTTATGTTATGTTTACCTTCTAATTTCTGTCCTCTCTTCTTCCCTTCTTGGGCTTATGCTGGCAGCCGCGCTGCTCAACTTATGCGGTGGCTCATGCCAATCCGCCGACCCCCAGCGGAGTAAAGACGTCGAATGCGTTCTGTAGGCTCGGTTGGAACTGGAGTGGCTAGGTATTGTTTCACGCTCGCGGGAGTTCAGCTCTTAGGGGCGCCTCCGGGGGGCTTTGGGGGGGCACCTGGCGGGCCTTATGGGGCCTCTTGGAGGCCCTCTGGGAGCCTCTTGGGGGCCTCTTTGAAGGCCTCTCTGGGGGCCTCTTGGGGGGCCTCTTAGATGCCACTTGAGGGGGGACGGGCTCGAGCTGCGGGCTCGTGCTGCCCCTCTCTGCCCTCTCCTGGCGCCCCCCGTGGGGCCGCCTTCGGGGCCGCCTCTGGGGCAGCCTTCTGGGCCCCCCCGTGGGCCCTTCCTGGGGCCGCCTCGTGCCGTCTTCGGGCCCCCCTCGGGGGCCTCGTGGGCCGTTTTGTGACACTCTTGGGTCGGAGGTTGATGATAGACCTCCTACCCTGACGCGTCGATTAGTGAATTGGCCGTTTTCGGTTCGCGAGAGGGCGTCGCGGTCGTCATTTTTGTGGGGCCAGGTCCCTCGGTTTCGGTCCTAGGCCGTTTTCACTAAAGGGAGGTTTACTAAAGGGAGGTTTGTCCACCGCCGATTGGGGGCTCTTCAGCCGTCTTGGTCGTACTGGCCGCTGTGAAGACGAGGGGAGCGAGTAGGTCGAGCGTGTCTATTTTCGGAGGCAGCTCCCGAGAGGTCAAGTTCTGACTTTGCCCTGGTCCGAAATCCTGCTTCAGCCGCCTGGATCCCGCTTAATCCGGCTTAATCCCGCTGAGTGCGCGGCCGATTCCGGCGTAGCAGCCCCCCAATAGGGCTTCATCTTCCTCAGTCCATCCGGCGAAGACCTCCCAGTAGTTGCCTCCTGGCCTATTTTTCGGCAGGGGACGGGACGATTTCTGCGTGCTGCGGCCCTCTCGGCGGCCCTCTGGGAGCTTTCTTGGGCAGTCTGGGGGCTTCGCTGGCTGTCTTGCGAACATCTCGTGCTACCGACGTGGGGCTGCTTCGGGCCGTCTCGATGCTCTCTTGGGCTGTCTCGGCGCTCCGTGGTCCGCTTTGGTGATTCAGTGGAGGCTTACGAGGGCCCGCGTGGTGAATTGAGGAGCTTGTCCTATGATGTTCCAGCCTACTTTAGCCTTGATCACCAGAAAGGATTTCGAGCACCAGGAAAGTACCGAAACTGGTGGGTTTTCGCGTGTCGGGCCCTGGGAGGCGATACTCGTTCGACACTGTTTCGATGCTCTTCTGGGTGCTCGAAATCCTTTCTGGGGCTTGGGTCTTGAGTGCAGTGGGAGCAACATGAAGCTTGTCCCCCCCCGAACGGGATTTGGAAACCCTGGGGAACTGGACAGCCAAATGTCTCACACGCACTGTCACCCCGGGCAAGCGGGGGTCGGCGGATCTGTGGCTGCTTTCTCACATGCTGTCGAGCGCGCCGTTGGAGACAATGACCAAGGTCCACGCTTTTCTGGCTTGACTGTTTTGCAGCCTACGAGTCTATTCTTGGCCGCTATTTCTACACTCCTCCAAGAGGCCGGTTCATGCTACATCGCGTCCAGCCTGCATGTTATGACTTCGGGAGCAGCTTCATCGTATTGACCGTAGCGTGATCGAGTACGACATGGCAGCCAAGCCAGCGACCACATCGTTGGCAGGTGTGCTTGGCTATTTTTTTCTCCGTGCGGTTCGCGGCTTTCTGGGCACCGCGTGGCTGCAGAGGGATGTGGCCCGAAACGACCCCTGGGCGTGACGTCGTGCGACCACAGGTCTCGAGACGGCATCGGCTCTCGGATCCGCGCGCGGGCGCGGGGTCCGCGGCCCTGCGGCGGGGGAGTGACCCCTCGCGGCAGGGCCGCGGGCGAAGCAGTGGCCGTCGGCGGCAGGGACGGGCGGGGCGGAGGAGCAGCCACTGGCAGCAGTACCTCGAGCAAGGACGTCGTCACGATGACGGTGCTCGCGATGACGACGGTGAGGATAGGCGACGGAACAATGCACGATCCATGTCCCTGCGATGGTGACGACGACACCGACGACGGCTGCCACGGAGATGACGACGTCGGGTCACGATGGTGATGACTGCTACGGAGGAGGAAAAACACCATAAACATAAACTTTTGGCGCTCCGCGCGGATTCCTCGGATCCGCGCTGGGCCTCCCGGGCGGCGCCTCCGGCGCCGCCCCCGGCGCCGCTCCGCGCGCCAGGGAGGGGGCTCCAGCGCAGATCCCGGAAAAATCCGTGCGGAGCGCCAACAGTTTTGGTTTATGCAGCCTCCTTTCCTTCTCCGGTGACTGGTGGCGATGCTGCCGCGATGAGCACCGGCACGCTGCCGTGCCCCCGGCAGACCAACAGCGACGCGGGCGAGCTGCCCGAGAACATGCAGAGCCCGTGGGGCTGCGCCGGCCCGCGCCTCCCTTCGGCCGCGGCAGCTGCGGGCTCTCCCCCGCCACCCCCTCCCCTCCGCCCTCCCCCCCCCCTCGCCCCCCTCCTCCGCCCGCCGCCCTCCGCCCTCCGCCCTCCCCCTCTCGGGCTGCATCGCCCTCCCGGGCCCTCGGCCTCCTGCCCTACGCCTCGCCCTCCCGTGGCCCGTCCCTGTCCCCGCCCCCCCTCCCCCTTTCCTCTCGGCTCGTCCTGCCACCGCTCCCTAGCCCGTTCCCTCTCCCCGTCTCCCTCCCTCGGCGGCGAGCGAGGGGGGGAGGTGAGAAGGAGAAGGCCTCCTCAAGGAGGCGGCGGGGCTTCTCTCCTCGGGCCTCCTGCGAAGGCCTCTGCCTCTTCGGGTAGAGCTTGGAAGCCTTCCCGCAGGGCCGGGGCACTTCCACGCCTTCCGAGTCCCTTCCCCCTTGGCTCGCCGCCGACCCCTCCCGCGGTTGGAGTCACCGCCCGATCCGGCACGGTCTCGCCTGAGATCCGTGGGGCGCTCGCTGCCCGGATATACCTCGTGCCATCGAGCGCGGTCCACTACTCGCAAAGTGCCCACTCGCAGACGTCCGAGCGAAAACATGTCTTCCTCTGCGCAATGGATCGTACATCCCCCGAGGCGGATCCGGGCCGTTTGCGAGTAGTGACTCTGCGAGTAGTGGAGCGCGCTTGTCTAGAGTGGAGACCTGCCGTGGCCAAGGTCCTACCGTGTTGTCCTCTCTTTCCCTCCTCCCCTCGCATACCTGGAGGGAGGAGAAACGGCACCACTCGGGGCTCAAGAGACGGGGGTCCGTACAAATGGGGGGGTCAGTCAGAGCGCCAGATCTTGCAGGATCCTGCAGAGCCAGGGGTGCATTGACCCAGGCTTCGGTGCAGGATCTGGCATGATCTTGCAGGACCTTGCGGAAGCCTGCAAAGCCCGGGTCTGGACTGAGCTGGGTCAGTGGATCCCCGAACCACCATCACCGGCGGGCCACCTTCATGAGGCGGGCCACCTTCATGAGGCGATCGCAAACATGGATCAAGGGGGCGTGGATTAGCGACGGGTCACGCTTCTATGGGAAATCGCGGATTTCCGCCGCCGAACGAGGCGGCGCCGGCCGCATTTCTGTGGAGGGCACCTCCCCCGATCCACATGGATGTGGCGACCGCGCGCCAGATCCATGGATCGCTAATCCATGTTTGCGCGCCCCCGGTCCAGTGACGAAGTCCGTGATGCCTTCCCCCGCGCGCCTGGAGATGTCTCGAGCGGCACGCCGCCAGACAGGGGGGGCGGGGCGGGCACACGACCGCCTGCGGCGCCCCCGCAGGGGGGGGGTGGGAGGGATCGCGCGAGGGGGGTGGCCGCACAGACGAGGGCCAAGGGGCGCCTGAGAGGGCAGGGGTCGGGCACGTCCCTCTACAGGGGGAATATTCAAAAAGATCCACAAATAATACAGGGGCGTTTTTTTTTTTTCTTCTTTTTTTTTGTGGTTTTGCGCATTTTGGAGCCATTTGTGAATCACTCTTGACAATGCTTCATTTTTCGTCGAAGCTCCCCCTGTAGAAGGGCATGCCCGACCGAACGCTGGTCTCGAGGGAGGCTCCCCGGAAGCGCGGCGGGCTTCGGAGGCCCCCCCCCCCCCCCCCCGCGCTTCTTCGGGAGGCCCCGCCCACCCTCTTGGCAGGCCGCCCCCCTTCGCAGGATCCCCTCGGGCCGCGACAGAAATCAGGACGGGAGGCTTTCGGCAATGTTCGGGGAAAACACATTTTTCCCAACCATCCTGTGGTGTTGGGTCCTCGTTTTGAAGAGACGTCGCCCCGCGTTCTCCTCCTCTCCTCCTCCTCCTCCCCCTCCTCCCTCCCCTCCTATCATCCTCATCGTCATCATCATCATCATCGTCATCATCATGGCACACCCCTCACACGTTTCGTGGCCCCATAGGGAGCTCCACCTAAGGTCCACGTGGCGCAGCTCGCATGGCGCCACCGCCCCTTTTTGGCACACCCCTCACACGTTTCGTGGCCCCATAGGGAGCTCCACCTAAAGGCCCAAGTGGCGCAGCTCGCATGGCGCCACCGCCCCATTTTGGCACACCCTTCACACGTTTCGTGGCCCCTCAGGGAGCTCCACCTGAGGTCCAAGTGGCGCAGCTCGCATGGCGCCACCGCCCCATTTTGGCACACCCCTCACACGTTTCGTGGCCCCTCAGGGAGCTCATTTTGGCACACCCCTCACACGCTTCGTGGCCCCATAGGGAGCTCCACCTAAGGTCCACGTGGCGCAGCTCGCATGGCGCCACCGTCCCTTTTTGGCACACCCCTCACACGTTTCGTGGCCCCATAGGGAGCTCCATTTACGGTCCAAGTGGCGCAGCTCGCATGGCGCCACCGCCCCATTTTGGCACACCCCTCACACGTTTCGTGGCCCCATAGGGAGCTCCATTTACGGTCCAAGTGGCGCAGCTCGCATGGCGCCACCGCCCCATTTTGGCACACCCCTCACACGTTTCGTGGCCCCTCAGGGAGCTCCACCTGAGGTCCAAGTGGCGCAGCTCGCATGGCGCCACCGCCCCATTTTGGCACACCCCTCACACGTTTCGTGGCCCCTCAGGGAGCTCCACCTGAGGTCCAAGTGGCGCAGCTCGCATGGCGCCACCGCCCCATTTTGGCACACCCCTCACACGTTTCGTGGCCCCTCAGGGAGCTCATTTTGGCACACCCCTCACACGCTTCGTGGCCCCATAGGGAGCTCCACCTAAGGTCCACGTGGCGCAGCTCGCATGGCGCCACCGTCCCTTTTTGGCACACCCCTCACACGTTTCGTGGCCCCATAGGGAGCTCCATTTACGGTCCAAGTGGCGCAGCTCGCATGGCGCCACCGCCCCATTTTGGCACACCCCTCACACGTTTCGTGGCCCCTCAGGGAGCTCCACCTGAGGTCCAAGTGGCGCAGCTCGCATGGCGCCACCGCCCCTTTTTGGCACACCCCTCACACGTTTCGTGGCCCCTCAGGGAAATGCACCTAAGGTCCCAGTGGTGCAGTTCGCATGGCACCCCTTCGCACGTTTCGTGGCCCCACAGGGAGCTCCATCTCAGGACCTGCGCGCGTCGCTGGGACCCCTCCGCGGCGACCTGCGCGCGTCGCGGGGACTCCGCGCTGCTCTGCGCCCGCAGCTTTGGATTTTTGGAGCGCGCAGGCAAAGAGGGGAGAAAAGAAGGGGCGGAAGCGGGTGCGATCCCCGTGAGGGGCGTGCCGACATGGGCGTCGCGGCGCGCGGGCGCTGCCGTCGGGGTTCCCGCGGAAGCTGCCTGCGGCGGCCACGCCCAGTGTCACGAGTGTTCGGACAGGCATGCTCGAGCCATTCACATTCATATACATTTACACTAGGCGTAGCCAAGATCGCATTCATGCAAACAAACTCACTCCCACGCAGACCCATTCACACTCAGACTCTCTCGCGCTCTGGCTCACCCGCGTTCATTCTTTCGTAATCTGACCTATCGTATTCCCTTGCGTTGTGTGCCCCGCCATATTTCGGCATACCCCTCATGCGGTTCGTGGCCACATAGGGAGCGCCACCGAAGAAGGTACTCACAATTGCGGCACTCACAACTGCATATGGTTGGGTCTTTCGCCAGGATAATTTTAATCTATCTATCTATCCCTAGGTACCAATCATATATATATATATATATATATATACATATGCAGATGTTTGTATGTTTATGTATAGAAAAATAGTTCACAGTTTGTGTTTTTGGGTCACGGACAAATCACGACGGGAGGTTTCCGGCAATGCTCGGCCCCTGCGGGCCCTCCGATGGGGCCCCAGGACCCTCTAGAAACGGCTCCGCTCCGGAGGACCCCGGGGGGGCGCCGTTCCTATGTCGACGTTGCAGTGCCGTTTTCAATACATGCTCCGCGTGCGGATCATGTATTAAACATGCAGGAATTCAGTATTAATGATCCCAGTGCGACCCTACCTAGGAGTTGGAGCCCCTAGGAAAGCAGCATTAGTAGTAACAATAAAGCTAAGCTAAAGCTAAGCTAAAGCTAAGCTGAAGCTAAGCTAAAGCTAAGCTAAAGCTAAGCTGAAGCTAAACTAAAGCTAAGCTAAAGCTAAGCTAAAGCTAAAGCTAAAGCTACATATAAGCTAACACTAAGCTGAAGCTAAGCTAAAGCTAAGCTAAAGCTAAGCTGAAGCTAAGCTAAAGCTAAGCTGAAGCTAAGCTAAAGCTACAGCTACAGATAAGCTAACACTAAGCTGAAGCTAAGCTAAAGCTAAGCTAAAGCTAAGCTGAAGCTGAGCTGAAGCTAAGCTGAAGCTACGCTGAAGCTAAGCTAAAGCTAAGCTAAAGCTAGGCTAAAGTTAAGCTAAAGCTAAGCTACAGCTAAGCTACAGCTAAGCTAAAGCTAAGCTAAAGCTAAGCTAAAGCTAAACTGAAGCTAAGCTAAAGCTAAGCTAAAGCGAAGCTAAAGCTAAGCTAACACTAAGCTGAAGCTAAGCTAAAGCTAAGCTAAATCTAAGCTAAAGCTAAGCTAAAGCTAAGCTAACACTAAGCTGAAGCTAAGCTAAAGCTAAGCTAAAGCTAAAGCTAAAGCTAAAGCTAAGCTAAAGCTAAAGCTAAGGCTAAAGCTCCCAGGGGACTGTGGGAACCGCGGGGCGGGGACTGGGGGAACCGCCCGGGGCGGTTAGCATTGCCCGGCCCTTTAAGCAAAGAGAGTAAGAACCCTTCTAGGCAGAGCCTAGGTAGGGAAAAACAGCGATGAGTTCATGCATAAATCTAAGCATAATTAGTCATGTGTTAAAATCCTATATCTTCTAACCCTATGCATTGCAGCGCGCCCTGTATGGAAAAGTCATGGCGTCGGGGGTCTGGGCTCGCGCCAACCCCGGGCGGGCGCCGCCGTCGCCAAGAGTTATGTCGGGCGTGTCCGTCTACAGGGGGAAGATTCAGAATAGTCAGAAAATAGTCTGGGGACGATTTATCGACCATTCTCGAGCATCTTCTGAACATTTTTTGGCCATGTTTCGTTTTTCGTTCAGAATCCCCCTGTAGGGGGACAGGCCCGACCGTGGCCAAGAGGCGCCTCCCTGGCTGCTCGCGACGTCTCTGGTGCTGCCTCCTCGTCCCACCGCCGACGGGGGAAAAGCGCGAAGACGAGCTCGTGGACCTCACAAGCGGGGCCGAGACTGCACCGCGCCGACTCTTCCCTGGTGCTTCTCCGAAGGGCCACCGCGCTCGCGCACGCGTGTCGCCCATCTTTGGGTTGCCCTCTGGGGCGATGACGGCTCGTTGAGAGCGTTTTTACGCGCGCTGGGTCCCCTCCCCAACGCTCCCCCCAGCAGTGCGTCCCCGGCACTGCCGCAGTGCGTCCGGCACCACAGTCTGGGGGGGGGACGTTCCGTTGTGCCCCGTCCCCTTCCCCCTTCCCCCCCTATGACGCTTGCTATGGCCGCGAATTGAAAGATGCGCTCGAGCTCGTTCGTACGCTCCTCGTCTTGCCGAACCTGGCCCTGCCCCGCCTGGCCGCGCGGACCAGCGCCCCCTCTGCGCCCCACCGAGCGCGCCGTCGATGGTCGGCAAGCTTCACGAGGAGCGGGAGGTAGAGAACGAGCGATAGAGAGATGGAGAGAGAGGGAGAGCGAGAGAAATGGCGAGGGCAGCGGACGTCCTCCTTTCGCTCTGCCCGTCTCTCCTTCACCTCACCACCTGTCCCTCTCTTCCTCCTCCCTTCCACCTCGTCCTCCTCTCCCGCTTCCTCCTCCTTGTCGTTCCCCGTGTTCGGGGCCACCGAGGTGGGCGGGAGGGGAAGGACGAGCGCGACGAGGGGAGGGGGTTGCGGAGAATCGATGACGAGGTGAAGGAGGCAGCTGATGATGAGTAGGAGAAGAGGAGGAGGAGGGGGAAAAACAGCACGAGCATGCAAGCTTAGAGCGGGCTGGCGGATTGACTATTTGCCTCCAATGAGTTCCAGCTCCTCGAGTGAGGGCTCCTCGAAGTATGCCGCCCACTCAGTTTATGGTGTCTAGGTGGATCTCAGGGAGTGCTGGGATCGCGGGGATCGAATGGTGGTATTGATGACGATATCGATGGTTATTATGAGGTTGATGACGAGGACGAGGATGCTGCTGATATGTTGCTGATGTGGACGACGATAACGCTGATGATGCCGAAAATACGAGGATGAGCGCGTTGATATTTATGACGAGGGTGGTGATACGGGTAAGGAGCTATGACGAGGATTAAGGACGATGTTGCTGCTGCTTTTGATGACGAGTGCTTTTGATGACGAGGATGAGCAAGCATGATGAGTAGCAACAAGGAGGATAAACAAGTGAGGAGGAAGAGGAGGAAAAGGAGGAGGAGGAGCAGGAGGGGGAGGAGGAGGAGGAGGAGAAGGAGGAGGAGGAGGAGGAGGAGAAGGAGAAGGAGGAGGAATATGAGAAGGAGTAGTCAGGAGGAGGATCTAGGAGTGAGGAGTGGAGGGAGGAAGGATGATAATGAGTATGATAAGGGGGAAGAGGAGGAGGAAACGGAGTAGGAGAGGATATGATAGGGGCACCAACGACGTTCTATGAAAAGCACGACCTCTGACCTTGACGACGCACTGGACGGCAAGGAGCAGGAAGCGCGCGATATGCAGGAAACGACTTCCTGAGCAACGCATGCCACCACTTGAGTGCGAGAAACGCGTAACGACTGGGAGATGACTGCGCTGGAGCTGACGATGTCAGAACCCAGCTGAGCGTCCAACAGGAACACACTAAGTGTACTCCCTACACGGCACTGTAATAGTGCCACATACAAGCAAACGGGAATTCCCGCGGAGCACTGAAGACGAGGACAACAACGATGTATACGAAGTGTGGCCCACCAGAGCATACATGATCGTTTGAAGTTAAAAAGAACAGCATGCTCGTGGTACCAAATTTTCGAGGCCATGGGCCTCGTTCCAAAAGCGAGCATGTCAACAGCTATTCCAGGCTTGGGCCCGTGAGTAAGATGTTCGGGAAGGACGCCTCCTGGAGCCAAGAGAGAATCCATACACAGTAGTAAAGACGAATACCCGCACTGGCTGCTGACAGACTGCTTCGCTTTGCCACGGGGATCAGCTTCGAAATCGGATGCGAGGATGACCCGGTAATCCTCAAGTGCCTACGTGGAGGCGCAGAGCTTGGCGGCACAAGACCCACCCGAGCTCAGACGGGTACGGAAGTCTTGGGCCACCTGTACGTGAGGCAAAGTGGCTGCGGACGGGAGGAGGAGGAGGAGCAGGAGGAGGAGGAGGAGGAGGAGGAGGAGGAGAAGGAGGAGCAGGAGAGGAGGAGGAGGAGGAGGAGGAGGAGGAGGGGAGGAGAGGAGGAGGAGGAGGAGGAGAGGAGTAAGAGTCAGGAGGAGGATCTAGGAGCGAGGAGTGGAGGGAGGAAGGAGGATAATGAGTATGAGTATGAGGAGGAGAGGAGGAGGAGGAGGAGGAGGAGGAGAGGAGGAGGAGGAGGAGCAGGAGGAGGAGGAGGAGGAGGAGGAGGAGGAGGAGGAGGAGGAGGAGGAGGAGAAGGAGGAGGAGGAGGAGGAGGGGCGCGGGTAGGGGGCGCAGAAGAGAACGATGGCCGAGTAGCGTCTTCTGGGGAGCCCAGTCTCGGCGCGCTCCTAGTTGCGCAGCGGCGCGCCTTCAGGGCGCGGCCGCGGCGCATTCGGTGTCCACGTATGCGAGCGCGCCTGTCTGTTGCAGCGTGCGCCGATCGGGGGGCATGTTCAGGAGGGGCGGCGCGTTCGCCTGTCGGAGGCAACGCTCGGCAAGAGCTCTCTGGAATTGTTTTCGATTCCCGGCCTGTTCCAGCCTCGGGATGCTCTCTGGCAGCTGCTCCAGGGTTGACAGAATCGGTTGAACGGCCGCTGGACAGAGTTTGGGCCCGAAAACAAAAACGCAACGTTTGGGGGGGACACGCTCACGGGGGATGTGTCGACCCCGGATCGCTAATTCATCGCCGACGGGGGCCCGATAGCCTGGCCCCGCCCAGGAACGCGCGGGTTCGCTGTCGGGGGCCGATCGTCGATCTGCCAGCGACGCGTCGCCGATTCCAGCTGACAGTGTTCCCCATGAGAGAGCCCCCCCCGACGTCCCCCCGTCAGCCGAGGGGGATGCAGCAGCCTCGCGGGAAGCCTCGCTCAAGAGAGCGCACGCCTGGGTTTGGGCGCGCGGATTGGCAACCGGTCCCGTTTCCGCGCAGGTCCCCCTTGGCTCGGTCGCCAAGTCGGTCCTTCCGCCGTAGAGGAGGAGGAGGAGGAGGAGGAGGAGGAGGAGGAGGAGGAGGAGGAGGAGGAGGAGGAGGAGGAGGAGGAGGAGGAGAGGAGGGAGGAGGAGGAGGAGGAGGAGGAGGAGGAGGAGGAGGGAGGAGGAGGAGGAGGAGGAGGAGGAGGAGGAGGAGGAGGAGGAGGAGGAGGGAGGAGGAGGAGGAGGAGGAGGAGGAGGAGGAGGAGGAGGAGGAGGAGGAGCAGATCCACGGACTGATGCGTTGGCGTGCGCCCGATGTACGAGCGCCGTCCCGCCTGGCAGGCAGAATGCTCGGAGGCCCCTGCGGCCTGGCAGTGTGTCGGGTCTCGGGAGGTTGCTGAAGTCTCCTGGCGGCGGCCGCGGGACTCGCGGTCGAGGCGGTGGCCATGTGGCCGATCCGTGGTCCCAGCCGTCGCTCCTTGGCATCCATGCTCTGCCGTGCCTCCCCGCCCTTCCCCTCCCCCTCCTCCCACTCGAAGCTCGAAGCTAAAGGCAGGTTCGGTCGATGGATGACCCGATGCCCATCGCCTCCTCCCTCTCCCCCCCTCCGCTGGCGAGGGGCAGGCGGCGTGCGTAACAGTGTATTGGGAGAGTCCCTGGCAGGGCAAACTGTTACTCGAGGGGAAGCCTAGGGTTGACAAACTTTTACCTGAGGGTGCACCAGGCCGCTGTTGCTTGGCAGTTCAGCAACTGCCATGCACGAAGTGCAAGGTCAATCGTGATCTTGATTCCGCAGGAGTCATTGGATACGAGCCGTTTCGAATAAGGCAATTCCTACGCTACCTCTTTCTGCAGTTCCTGCTTCTGCTCCTTCACCATGCTATCTAAGCTCATCGCTCTCAGCATTCTCCCTCACTCGTTGGGCCATGAGGTCGAGCTCATGGACGCCGAGATGTTGGTCATCCTCGCGCCTAAACAGAGCGAGTGCGGCAGTATCCTCAAGCTGATCGATGGCATGAACAAGGTCCTGTCCAGAAGAAGTGGGTCGGAGGGGGATGAGGCACACGAGGGGGAGGAGGATAGGGGAGCAGAAACATCAGAAGGAATAGGTCCAGCGGGGGGATGAGGCAGCGGCACGTGCCTCATGCTTGCTCTTGTGGATGATGATGATGAGAATAAGGATGACAATGATGATCATGCTGATGATGACGACGGTGATGATGATGATGATGATGATGATGATGATGATGATGATGATGATGATGATGTGAATCATGATGATTATGATGATGATGACGGTGATGATGATGATGTTGCTGATGATGATGATGATGGCGATGATGATGATGATGATAATGATGATGATGATGATGATGTGAATGATGATGATGCTGATGATGATGAGGTGGAGGAGGAGGATGACGAATATGAGGACGATAAGTGAGTATGATGATGATGATGATGGGGATGATGATGATTATTATGATGATGATGACGAGAAGGAGAACGCGGACGAGGACGACGAGGAGGAAGACGAGGACGACGAGGACGGACGACAACGATGACGACGGGATGATGATGATGCTGATGATGATGATGATGATGATGATGATGATGATGAGGATGCTGGTGATGATGAAGTCGACGATGACGATGTGATGATTATGTTGCTGGAGATGATGGTAGTGGTGTTGGTGATGGTGGTGACGATGATGTTGATGCTGCTGACGATGATGATGATGATGATGCTGATGATGACGAAGACGATGACGAGGACGAGGACGGACGACGACGATCACGATGATGATGACGATGATGATGATGATGATGATGATGATGATGATGATGATGATGGTGGTGGTGATGCTGGTGATGATGATTATGACGATGATTATGCTGCTGCTGATGATGATGCTGCTGCTGATGATGATGACGCCGACGATGATGATTCTGATGATGATGATGATGATGATGATGATGATGATGCTGATGATGATGATGACGACGACGATGATGATGATGATGATGATGATGATGATGATGATGCTGATGATGATGATGATGATGATAATAGTGAGTATGATGATGGTGATGATGATGACGATGATGATAATCATGATCATGATGATGATGATGATGATGCTGCTGCTGATGATGATGATGATGATGATGATGATGATGATGATGATGATGATGATACTGCTGATACTGATGATGATGCTGATGATGATGATGCTGATGATGATGATGATGGTACTGATGCTGCTGCTGCTGATGCTTATGCTGATGCTGCTGATGATGATGAAGCTGATGATGATGGTGATGATGATGATGCTGATGATGATGATGATGATGATGATGATGATGATGATGATGATGATGATGATGATGATAATGATGATGGCGTGACGCTTGGGTTGGCTCCGGGTAGCGCGGTTGGTGTCGGCGCGGAAGTCTGTCAGGGATGACGTCCAGGACCTGCTGGATGGTCATCTCGAGAGGGCTTCGGTCGGGCGCGATTTCAGGCCTGCTCTATCTGCCTTTCGAGTCGCGCTGACGACTAGGCGATCTCATTGCGTTTCTTTGAACGGGGTCCTGCGTCAACGCGATCTCCACGCGTTATCATTGCGTGCGTCATGGTGATTGCACTTTTGACCGTCATCGTCGTTCTCACCAACATCCTCACCCGCCTTTCCATCCTTTCGCACACCATCATCACGCTTCTGCCCTTATCCTTCCTCCTCCTCCTCCGTTTCCTCCTCCTCCTCCTCCTCTTGCTTCCCGCCTTCCTTCTCCCTGTCATCCACTGCCTTTGCTTTGCCTGAGGGGAGCACTCAGCCAGCTCTGGGGTGGGAAGGGCTCACTCGCCCTTGACACTGAGGTGGGCAAGGATATCACAATGCGCCTTTCGGCAAGCCCTGCCCATGTGCGGTGTGGCAGGCGCGGCCGCAGAGTCGCACCCCTCCGCGCATGTATTCAGCCCACGCTCACGCAGGCATTCGACACCAGGTCGTACCTGCGCGCGGATGTCCGTGCCTCCCCACATGATGCCCGCAGCACTAAACGTCCCTGCACGGCTCCGTGCGCAGCCTCTTGGAGGGGAAGGAGGAGGAGGAGAAGGAGGAGGAGGAGGAGGAGGAGGGAGGAGGAGGAGGAGGAGGATTGGGGGCCCCTTGGGAGCCTCCCGCGAGCCTCTCGGGGGCCTTTCGGGGAGCCTCCGGGGGGGGGGGGCCTCTCGGGATCCCCCCCCTGGGGGCGCGGAGAGCGCACCGCGCCTCCACGCGCCGCAGCCTGGGCAGGAGCGACCGCGCGCGCGCGGGCGCGCTCGCGAGGCGCCTCGGCTGCCTCTGGCGCGCCCGAGGCCGAGGAGGCCTCGTCCTCGTCCTCGTCCTCGTCCTCGTTCTCGTCCTCGTCCTCGTCCTCCTCCTCCTCCTCCTCCTCCTCCTCCTCCTCCTCCTCCTCCTCCTCCTCCTCCTCCTCCTCCTCCTCCTCCTCCTCCTCCCCCCCGCCTCCTCCTCCTCGGAGGCGGAAGCGCGCGGGGGGCCCGCCCAGGCGCGCGGGAGGCGGAAAGCGCGGGCCTTTTTGGGGCGGCCGCTCGGGGCCCCCGAATTTCTCGGCGGGAGAAGGGCGGCGGCTCTGCGGCCGCCCAGGCGTGGAGCTCTCCGCGGGCGCCCACAGGGCATTGCCTTTTGCGTGGGTACGGTCGATTCGCGTCGTGTCGACCGGCGGCGACTCCGCCGCCGGCGTTCAACATTGATCGGCCACGCGCAGCGGGGGGTAGAGGGAGGGGGGAGGGCTTCTTTGAAGCACCCCTGCTTCTTAGAAGGCGCGGGCTTTCTCTGTAGATGCAGGGCCGGCGCCTTCTAAGAAGCAGCCTCCTCCTGAGAAGCCTTCCCCCCCCCCTACCCCCTTGTTCGCGCCGCCAAGGGATTGCGCGCTGCCTCCAGCAGAGTTGAGTCGAGCATGTCCCTCTACAGGAGGAGCATTCAGAAAAATAGTTTAAAGATAGTCAGGGGACGGTTGTTTTCGACTATTTCCCCACATCCTTAGTGTGGCTCTTGTTTTCTCTGGACACCCCGCGCACTCCTTCTCCTCACCCCCTCTCCTCCTCACGCGCTCACACATCATCATCATCATCATCATCATCATCATCATCATCATCATCATCATCATCATCATCATCATCATCATCATCATCATCATCATCATCATCATCATCATCATCATCATCATCATCATCATCATCATCATCATCATCATCATCATCATCATCATCATCATCATCATCATCATCATCATCATCATCATCATCATCATCATCATCGTCATCATCATGTTGATTATCTCTGAGCTTTTGCTGGTAATGTTCCATTCTTCTTTCAAAATCCGCCTGCAGGGGGACACGACCGACCCAGCAGTAGGGGGGGGGGGCGGCGGCGGGGCGAGGCTGGCGGCGCGGCCAGACTCGGCGCGGAGCGCCCAAGAGACTCGAAGAAGGAAAAACACCCATACTGAGCCACGCGCAGAGGGGGGTGGGGGGAGGGGGGAGGGCTTCTTAGAAGCACCCCTGCTTCTTAGAAGGCGCGGGCCTTGTTTGTAGATGTAAGGCCGGCGCCTTCTAAGAAGCAGCCTCCTTCTAAGAAGCCCTCCCCCCCCCCCACCCCCTTGTGCGCGCCGCCAACATACACATGAACTTTCGACGCTCCGCGCGGAATCCAAACCCGAGTCAATGCACCCCTGGCCCTGCAGGATCCTGTAAGATCTGGCGTCCTGGCTGGCCTACGTCTGGATGGACCCCCGTCTCTAGAAGAAGAAACAACGCCATACATATGAACTTTCGGCGCTCCGAGCGGACTTCTTTGATCCGCGCTGGAGCCCCCCCGGCGGCGCCTCTGGCGCCGCCCCCCAGGGAGGGGGGTCCAGCGCAGATCCAAGAAATCCGTGCGGAGCGCAAACCGTTTTTGTTTATGGCGTGTTTCTTCTAGAGACGGGGGTCAATGCAAACGGGGGTCAGCCAGGGCGCCAGATCTTGCAGGATCCTGCAGGGCCAGGGGTGCATTGACTCGGGCTTGGGTGCGGCATCCTGCAGTGGATCCTGCAGGATCCTGCAAGGCCTGGCTGACCCGGGTCTTGGTTGACCCGGGTCAGAAGATCCCCGATATGTGCGGGATGGTTCTCCCCCAATCCCCGAGCTCGGCCCGAAAAGTTTGGGCGCTCAGGGAAGAGGGGGAGAACCTGGGATGCACCCCGAGGGGGCTATTCGGACGCACCCCATATCGAGGATGAACGCCCCTTCATCGTACATTCCAGGGTTGGGTCCCACATTTTCTGTCCACTCGAAAAACCTCACAAGCCTGGGATAGGGGTCGACATGTTCCCTGTTACTGTTCGGGATGCCGTCCAGGACGAGCTGGGTGGCCATCTCGAGAGGGCTTCGGTCGGGCACGACTGCAGGCCTACTCTACCTGCTTTTCGAGTCGCGCTGACGACTAGGCGATCTCACGACTACGCGGGTTTTGCAAGAGGAGGCCCTGGCTCAAAAGGACACCCATCTCTCCCAGGGGGGGGCCCAGGCGGTCTCCAGAGCACGCCTGGGGGGACCGCAGGGGGTCCGAACTGCCGCGGCAAGCTGGGACCACCTTGGGCCAGGACCACTTCTGTGGATCGCCAGACGAAAAGCCAGGGGGAGAGGGAAGGTGTAGGGGGAGGTGGATGAGCACAAGGAGGAAGTCTGGAGGGTTCTCTTCCGCTTTCGGTTGAGCTTCTTCCTTCAGTCTTGCCTGCCAGTTCTCTTCCTGCTCCCTCCCGCCTTTCGATTCTCTTCCTGCTCCGTTGCCCTTCCTTCCTCGGTATCGTTCAATCAATCCCCATCCCCATCCTCTTCGAGACCCCCACCAAATTCTAGACGCTTCGCGTATCCCCACCAGCCCGTCCAGAAACGACGCCCAGGCGAGTAGAGGGTCGTCCTGAGGGGCTTTTCGGCGTCTTGGGTGCCTCGGGGGGGCCTTTGTGGGCCGTTCGGGATCCTCTTTGGGGCCTCCTGGGGGCCTCTTGGGGCCTCTTGGGGCCATCTTGGGGCCTTTGGGGGCCTCCTGGGCGCTTCTTGGGGCCATCTTTGCCCCCTCAGGAGGCCAAATGGGGCCAAAATCTAAGTAAAATCAATGATTTTGGCTTCCTCGCCGAGGCCGTTTTGGACGCTCTGACCGCTCGCGGCCCCCCCCGTCCAGGTCCACGGGGAGGGGGTAGGGGGAGGGGTAAACCCCTCCCCGAAGGGAAAGAGGGAGGGGTGGAAGAGGAAACGCCTTAAACCACCGACGCCCAGAGGGCTGGTGGGATTGCCTCGATCAGGGAAGTGGACAGCACACAGAGGAAGCCAGTATGAGACATCTTGGGATTTCTTGAGCCATCTTGGAGGTCATTTTGGGCTCTCCGAGGCGCTCTTGGAGTCATCTTAATCAGTGCCCCCCCCCAAGAGGCCAACATGTGGCTAAAACCTTAGTGCAAACAATGGTTTGACATTATCGCCGAGGCCTCTGGGAGCACCTTGGGTGCCTCTGGGGGGTCTCTTGGGGCCTCTTGGGCGTCTCTTGGGGGCCTCCTGGGGGCCTCTTGGGGGGCCTCTTGGGGCCATCTTGGGGCCATCCTGCGGCCTCTTGGGGCATCCTGGGGGCCTCTTGCGATCTATCAAAGAAGAGGGGAGCTTTAATTAGCGCTGCCCCCTCAGAAGGCCAAAATGGGGCCCAAACCATAGTAAAATCAATGATTTTGGCTTCCTCGCCGAGGCCGTTTTGGACGCTCTGACCGCTCGCGGCCCCCCCGTCCAGGTCAGTGGGGAGGGGGTAGGGGGAGGGGTAAACCCCTCCCCGAAGGGGAAGAGGGAGGGGTGGAAGAGGAAACGCCCTAAACCACCGACGCCCGGAGGGCTGGTGGGATTACCACCCCAGTCGGGGATACACCCCTCGAAACCCGCAGGGAGCGACCTACATCCCCATCTAGAGGGGTAAATCGGCCAGTGGGGCCCAGGCCACGCCGCTGGGGATGGTGAGCGGTTAAACGATACTCACTTCCCTTCCCCTGCCATGGCTGGAGTATGCGCTTCCCGAGGAGGGGGAGGAGAAGGAGGAGGAGCAGGACCAGTGCAAACCCAAAAGGCGAGAGCCACATTTTGAAAACCACCCGCTCTCCACTTGTGAAACTGTTGTCATTCTTTAAGCTTCAAGGTCATACATGGCGAGGAAGTCTCAGGCGAAACGCCTGGCCGCCCCAAAAACTGGCCTCGACAGGGAGAAGTTATGTATGAGGAAAAAGAATGGAGGGGGAGGAGGAGGAGGAGGAGGAGGAGGAGGAGGAGGAGGAGGAGGAGGAGGAGGAGGAGGAGGAGGAGGAGGAAGGAGAGGAGGAGGAGGAGGAGGAGGAGGAGGAGGAGGAGGAGGAGGAGGAGAGGAGCAACGAGGAGCAACGAGGAGGAGGAGAACGAGGAGGAGGAGGAGTTCTCCTGGCGCACCAGCACGCCGGCGTGCGCCGCCGCCCGCGCGGGGGGGGGGCGGCGCGGCGCGGATCCCGCTCGTGCTCATCAACCCTGCGCTCAGCGGTGGGAGCGCTGGAGCGCCCCCGGGGGGGTGGGTGGTTTTGTCTGCTCGTCGCGGCTTTCCTCATTCTCCTCGCCTTCCTCCTTCTCCTCCCTCCCTCCCTCCCTCCCTCTCCGGGCGGCACAGCCTGCCCATCTTCTGAGGCCCTGGGTTCGTTCCTCCTTTTTGTGTTGGACTAGCGGTGGCTTGCTCGAGCTGTCGCGTCTTGGCGGCAACGATCCGAGCAAAATCTGTTCTCAGCGCAGCGATCGGTTTTGGGTATGGTCGGAGGTCCAAGGGATGGGCACCATCACCAAAATCGGCAGTGTGCCTCCAGCGATGGAGGATGATCCCGATCTCGGTGATGGCCGTGGTCCTCGGGCGTCCCAGGTGGCCGATGGATTGCCACCAGCACCAGCGTCAAAGATCATGCCCCCCCAGTGGAGGCAACCCTGTGTCGGTGAGGATGTCCATCTCCGAGCCTCCAGTGTGG